ATCCTTAAAACTGATACCTTAACCCTATGCCCACAGCCCTAACCCTAATACTGACACCTTAATCCTACGACCATAAGACCCCAACCCTAATTCTGATGCCCTAAACCTATGACCATAGCCTTAACCCTAACACTGAAATCGTAACCCTATGTCCATAGCCCTATTGTAACACTGACACCTTAATCCTATGCCGAAACCCTAACCCTGAAACGGAGACCTTAACCCTATGTCCATAACCCTAACTCTAACCCTAAAACTGACACCTGAACTCTATGCCCGTAGTGATAACAATGACACTGGCATGTTAAACCTATGCCCATAACCCTAACCCTAAAACTGACACCTTAGCCCATGCCCATAGCTCTAACACTAATACTGACATCAAACCTAACACTGAACTCTTAACCAGAAGCCCATAGTCCTAACCCTAACAATGAAATCATAACCATATGCCCAATAGCCCTTCTGTAAGAGTGCCACCTTAATCCTACGCCCAAACCCTACCCCTAACACTGACACCTTAATCCAATGCCCATAACCCTAATCCTAACACTGACACCTTAACCCTATGACCATAGTGTGACATAGCACCCCATAATTCTTGATGGAAATATGCTTATGAATGTATATATGACATAACTGGAATATGTTTTATGCTACATATGCCATGTAACATATCTCTGCAAAGGTTATGATCTACTGAATCTATTCCTCCTATTTGTATGCATGTGTGATTTTTTTTTGTATTCGAAGTTATGAATATTGGCTGTGTACTTGTTTGATTTTAAGTAGCCTTAGTAAGGCATTTGGACAGCTTCTTTAGAAAGGAATTTGCAAGTTAAGTGCCCAATCAAGAAACACTTAATGGACAATGGATCTTGGAAGGCTCCAATCCACATAAGAAGTCTATCTGAGGACGTTCAAGGTAGTATGTGAACAATGGCTGCTACCTAGAAGTTCTGAGTCATGCATGGACATGTGACTTGCCCATGTGACTCCAAAACTCCATCTTGTAGCTGGTATTCTACACAGGGGAAGGGAGGGATGTCCACCCACAAGAGAGTCTATTTAAACCCCTGGGAGACCCCCCTCCATTTTGTCTTCAGCTGGCTCAAGAGAGAGCCTGTCCACCCCCAAGGATACCTGAGAGAAACTGGAACAAAGGACAA